AAGATTGCTGTAGGAGAAACAGGTTCAAATTCATGGAACATTAGCACCAGGACTGGGGAAGGAGGAAGCTGTTCCGATGAGACGGGCTGCACCTGAATCATGAAGGGACCAGAATCCTGGTAAAACACAACCAGGGCTGTGGATAGGACTTTAAACCAAATGGTGGTGGGGGTAGTTCAGCTGCACGAAACATTATGGAAAGAAGTGAAGGAGTGTGGAGGGAGCTCAGTAGAAGGTCTTAAAATTTCCAGATATGGAAAGGCTCAGGAATTTAAAATCTGATAAGAGGACAACTATAAGAAGAGTGGGCAGTCAACACTGAGTGTGTTATACTTAAATGTACACTAGTATATGAAACAAGGTAAATGAGCTTTAGTATAGATCGCAATTGGCAGGTATCATATTGCGGGTATCAGGCTGGGAATTAAATATCTGAGAATACGTTTCCTATTGAAAGGGCAGGCAGACGGGCACAGGGAGCAGGGTTGTCTTGTTAGTTTACTAGGATGTTACTGGGAATGTAGGGTGAGATATAGAAATAGACTGGAAAGGCCAGGAATTTTTTTTTCCCCCCATTGGAGTGTAGGAGGTTGAGGGATGGGCTTATAAAAAAGTTTATAAAATCACAAGCAGCATAGATAAGGTCAATGACAAGGATCTTTTCCCTAAGACATGGGGTGGGGGTGTTGAAAACTAGGGAGCATATTTTTAAAATCTTTCTCCTCTCACCTTAAAAAGAACATGAGGGGCAACACTTCTTTTAAAAAAAAAGTGTTATTCGTGCGTGGGACTAGTGGCCAGGGAACATTGTACATGCATGTACAGTTACAACATTTAAAAAAACGTTTGGATAAGTTCATGAATAGGAAAGGTTTGTGGGGTACAGACCAAGCACAGGCAATGTGGGACTAGTTTAGTTTGGGAACAGGGTCAGCATGGGCTGGTTTGACTGAAGGGTCTGTTTCCATGCTGTATGACTGACTCTAAACTGATAGCATAACGTGATATACAGTCAGAGGAATCTGTGTGGGTAGAGTTGAGGAACCACAAAAGGAATAAACCCTAATAAGAGTTATGTACAGGCTTTCGAGCTATAGTCAGGACGAGGGAAAAAATAAATCAGGAGATAGAAAGGGCTTGTTAGAAAGGCACTAATACAATAATCATGGGAGACTTTAATATGCAGGTATATATACCTTAGACAAAACAGAGGATATTGGAGCACTGGAAAATAAAGCTGGAGAAGTAACAATGGAGAGAAAGAAATGACAGATGAACTGAATAGGTACTGTGCATCAGTTTTCACAGTAGAAGATGCTAGTAGCATACCAGACCTTCAAGAGAGTCAGTGGGTAGACGAGTGTACAGGCCATCATTAAGGAGAAAGTGCTGGGGAAGCCAAAAAGAGTCTGAAGGAGGATAAATCACCTGGACCAGATGGACTACACCAGAGTACTGAAGGAGATAGCTGTGAAAATTATGGCTGCATTGCTGGTGATCTTACAGAAATTATTGGGGGAGGGTTCCAAATGGCTGGAACATGACCAATGTCACAGTCCTGTGTAAGGAGGGAGGAAGGTAGAAGTGAAGAAACTATAAGTCAGTTAGCTTGGTGAGAGAAACCGCAAGCGCACAAAACCGACAGCGAGACAGACAGACGCAGAGAGAGAGAAACAAACAGAGAAAGGAGAAAAAGACACAGTTGACAGTTCAAGTATGGTATGACTTTTCTTCATAAAAAAAAGTGTTGGAAAACAGTTCTTTTGCATTTTTGATTGAGGCAGGGGAGGAGCAAGATGGTGTAGATCCCACATTGAAAGGAGCAGCTACAACCATTTCCTTCACCTCCAGCAGGATGGCACCCAACATATCTTCAACTCCCCTATCACCATTCTGCAGGGACTGCTCGCTCCGTCTCACTTCTGCATCACTCTTAACACTGCCACCATAGCACTTCCCCATGCAATTACAGAACATTAAACACTTGCCCATTCATCTCCTCCAAGACCACATATGGACCTTCCAGCTGAAGCAGCACTTCAGTCTCCTTCAATCTCACCTACTGCAGTTGTTGCTTATGTAAAAGGAGACTGCAACATGAGCAAGGCCAACTACAGACTGGGGGGGGATGAAGTTGCAGAACTCCTCCACCCAGACCCTAGGAATTACTTCAACTTGTTGGCCATTTCAATAAACCACTTCGCTCACGTAAACATTTCTAACCTGGGCCTGTCGCAATGGTCCAAAAGCACAACACAAAGCTGAGCTACAAATCTACTCCAAAACCTTAGAGCACAACTCGAAGTCAAGGAACAACACCTCCAAATTTTCACTTGGGCACTTTATTGCCTCGAGGTGTCAAAACTGAATCCAGAAACTTCAGATTTTAAAATTTAGATTTTATTGTCACGTGTACTCAAGTACAGGACTACAGCGAAAAAGCATACAAAGTCACTATTCCCCGACACCATTTTAGTTTATAAAAGACAGGATTAAAAATAGAAGTGGAAGTAAAAGGAACAGCTAAAAGAAAAGGAAACATCTAGATTACTCCCTGCCTCTGCCATAAGTCCTCACTGCCAGCAAAACAAAGTCCATCACTCAGACTGTGAACACTCATGCTGCATCCCCACAAGCTGCTGCAGCTAGAACACCACCAACTCCGTCAGGTACCCAGGCCCAGCAACAGCCTGGAACCACACTGCCACCACTGGAACCATGTCACCATCTTGTCTCCACCAAGATCACCACGAGTCCATGCTGGGCAAATTTCAGCCACGCAGTCTCCACTGAAGCAGCCATATCCCGAACAGGGCTCAAACTCAGCATTGGGCCCCACCACGCAGAAGCAGCCAGTACCTCTTCTGGCTTACGTTGCTGCCACTCCCACCTCTTGGGACCACCATTTCAGCAAGGAAACCCACCACTGTCCATGCTCCAGGAAGGAGCCACTCCCACCAGTAAAATGGACCACTATCGATGCAGTGAGGAGCTGAAGGAACACGGCAGGGTTAGGTAGCAGAGAAGCAGGAAAGTCGATGTTTCAGGTCAGGACCCACCATCAGCCCAGTCCTGATGAAGGGTCGTGACTCAAAACATCAACTTTCCTGCTCCTCTGATGCTGCCTGCCCTGCTGTGTTCCTCCAGCTCTACACTGTATTGGTTCTTGCTCTCTCCAAAATGGCCATTATGTCTGTTCTCTATTTTCGTTACATACTAGCCCATACCCCTCCTTCCCCCAGCCAAACCACAGCTTTGTCTTCTCATTTACTTTTGACTTTCACACCCTCACATCCCCCAACTCTATTCTTTCTCCATAATTAACATCACCTTTTGTCTTTGACACGGCACTCGTGTCTGATATGAAGGTGCTGGCGTTGGACTGAGGTAGACGAGGTCAAAACAAAAAAAGTCACATGACACTGGATTATACCAACAATTTATTTGAAATCACAAACTTTCCGAGCCTTACGCCTGAAGGAATGAGACTCCAAAAAGCTGGTGTTTTCAAATAAACCGGTTGGCCCTGGTGTCGTGTGATTTTTGACCTTAGCCTCTGCATTTCGGGAGGATTATACAGTACAGAGGAGGCCTTTCGGCCCATCAGGTCCGTTCCGCCGATGCTACACCTGCCCTCTTACGCCACTTGATCTCTGTAAGAGAGAGAAAAAAGTAAGAAACAACTAATTTTCCTACAGAGATAGTAGGAGCTGAGCATCCAGCCCTGCACCTTGTTGTCTCTAATTTTCCTAGAGATTTCATTTCTGTAGGAGTTACACCAAACACAACATGCAAACACTAGCTCTCCGCCTCCCCATAGATGCAGCCAGACCTGCTGAGTTCCTCCAGCATCCTCGATGTCGGTTTGCATCAACTTTTCCTGCATGATGTGTCATGCCTGGGAACCTCAGCCATAACAAACCCAAGTGCTCCCGCCAAAAGAGCTCCAAGCCGAAGGCCCCCACAACCATGACTACCCTACAGCGAGGTCCCGCCCTTTAACCCAGGGCTGATTGGCCACCTGCCGAGCAATGACTGGCTCAACGTCCTGTCATTCGTTTTCTTAGTATCCCGCCCTCCACGACTGTGCGCGTTCTCGCCGGTGATTGGATTACCTTCCCGTTAATTACAATACCGTCCCACAAGCGTATACTGATTGGGCAGTTACCCTGGAACGATTGGTCTATATCCATATCAATCAAGTTTCCAGGGCACCGCCCCCTAGCCCCTCGGCTTTCTTAGCCAGCCGCCAGACAGTCCTCGGTTTCTCCTCACGTGACTTAACACTAGCCAATTGAAGGCACTGATTGGACGAATTCACGTCAACCGTTTCCATGGGGATCCCGCCCACTAAACATGCACTGATTGCCCGGTCTCCAAGAGCGGATTGGTTCACTCACACGTCAATCAATTACACCGTCTCCTCCTCACCAATCCCCGGCCGATTGGCCCCCGAACTGCGGGTAGCGGTTGCTTCATTTTTCCGTCAATCACCCTCTTTCCCCGCCCCCTCAATCGGAGCGCACAATTTGTTTTTGTTTAATAAACATACGCATCTTGTGATGAAACGTTAGTCCCCACTCTTCACGCGAGGAGGGAAGGAGGAAATGTACATTTAAAAGAAAAATATTTGTGCAAAAAAAGAAATCGTCTTGACGCCGAGGAGCCCGCGGACCCTCCCCCTTACTCCTCTCTTGGAGAGTTGAATAGCGCCGCCGCCGGGGGGGCGCGGATTCCCCACTTTCTCGTGCACGCGCGATGCCTATGGAGGCTGCGCGCGTATTCCCCCGTTCACGTGCACGCGCAGACTCCCGTCCCCAGCCCAGCCCATTTCCCATGCACGCGCGGCTCTCGCGCACGCGCGGATTCCCTTCACTCCCGAAACACTTCGCCGAGGACGCCCGTGGCTTCCCCGGCGCGCGGGGACTCTCCTCGTTCCCGCGCACGCGCGGGGCGCGCGGCCTCCACCGTCCCCTTCCCCCCCCACTCGGTCCCATAGTGCACCGCGCGGCAAGCCAAGATGGAGGATTTAATGGTGGAGGTGCGCGGCTCTAATGGAGCCTTTTATAAGGTACGGTGGTGGGGGGAAGTAGGTGGCGGTTGGCTGTTGATTCAGTTCCTCATCTACCAAAACAGTTTCCTGCCTTTGCCTCTCACGGTGAATGTCTCACGCTGATGAGAAACTCTTATTTCTGTGTGACTACCTGCTCTCTGTATCCCATTTGATGATTATCTTTCTCTCTCTGTGTGTCTGTGTCTGATGGCTTTTACCTCACGAGTCCCCCAGGCTTTGCTTTCCCTCTCTTTGGGTGGGCGGGTCTCTCTTTCTCTGTGCTGCTCCTCCTCGGTTGTAGCCTAAGCTGCTGCTTTTGTTATTGTCCTGACTACAATGGTGAGGAGGCCCCTCAATCCACTCTGGAGACGTGTGTGTCTGCCTGTGTTTGGTGTGAGCCTTTACCTTCAGGCTTGACGGTTTGGAAATAAAAGAAGGCCCTTGCTCGCATCTCTTCTCTTTTGTGTTTACACTTGCTTCTTTTGTGTTTGGGGAATGTTCACCTTCACACAGTCTGCTGTGAGCTGCTTTGTGTTTGAGTTTTTTAATGGGATGCATGTGTAGGCGTGCACTTTATCCACGGATTGAGCCACTGTGTTTGGACTGTCCCAAGTCACAGTTTCATGGTTGATGATAATCAAGTGAAATCTTCACCTTCCTGCAAATATTGGTGTTCACCATTTATAATATTCATATAGTTTAATGTTTTCTTTAGTAAGTTATACTGTACTATAGTATAGAAAGTGTATTTTACTTTTTGTTAATTGGTTACATCACATCAGCTAGTAGTGTCTTTACTACCACAAATGTGGATATGTTGCTAAGGTGATAGATTCCATTTCCAGCTTTTTTTGAGGGGTGATGAATTGTTTCAGTTAATTGATTTTTTTTTTTAAATCTGCAATTACTCCATATCTAATAGAATCATACAGCACAGAAACAGACCCTTCAGTACAACTTATCTGGGTTGACCAGACATCCCAGAATTGTGAAATGAAAAGACATCTTTAATGTAGTGCAGTTGTGAGTGGTTTGAGAAAATCAAAAAAAACCTCTGGGTTCCTAAATCTTACTGGCTATGATCCATTCTTTGATCATGTTCCATAGCTATAAAATGTTCAAAGTATTCAGGCAGCATCTGTGAGGAGAAAAATAGTTAATATTTCATGATTTAGAATTATTCTGTTTCTGTCGTCATGTTCACGAGCAAGTGACAAAGCAATGATATTGCAGGTGCAGGAATGCAAACTAATTAGTTTACAATAGATTTTAAAACCTGCTTTGCTTTAGTATTTCTGATGGCTTTTAAGTTCTTCTGAATCAAGCCCAATGCCATGATAGTTTAAACTTGCCCTTCAGTGAAGTCGTGATGAAGTTGATACTACTTGTTCAAGTTTGCATAAACCATTGAAGTGCAGTACATTCTGGTACCATGATCAATGTTCAATTTTCAATGATTATGAGCAAAACAGTTAACTAGTCACTTGTCTCATGTTGTCTATGGAGACTTTGCTGTGCGTGAATTGGTAGCTGTGCTTGGCTACAAGACAGTTGTTGCTAATTTTCGTAAGTAATTTCTTGGCTGTGAAATGCTGTGAGACATCCTGTCAATGGCCTTATTAAAGCTAAAAGGAACTTGCATTTCAGGATGCTCTGTGGAAATGTTTACACACTTAAGCTTTGTATGAATTTGAAATGCCATAAAGGTAATATCGTTAATACCAAAACCAATGAAGTAAACTTTGCAGTTAGCAACAGAATAGTATGCTAATATTAAGCAAATATTGTTGGTGCTTTTATCTATTCTGTACCTGAATGGGGAGATGTGGAGTACAAGTTTATTCAGAATTTATTTCATTAAAGAAGTAGCTGTGAGTTAACAATGTCAGGGTACTCACATTTCAGCCTTAAATATATTCATCTATGGAGCAACCTCAATCCTGTCAGGTAGAAAGTTTAAGTTTCACAACCCTTTAGAATGTTGAGTTTCCCCTTGTCTTGATCCAAAATAATCACCCGTTAACCATGTGTATCCCCACATTCTCGATTCCTTAGTCAGCAGAAGTAATGTGTCTACTTTTGCCAGCCACTTCAGGCAATGTATATTTCTCTTCTAAATCTGTCCAATTTGTTTAGTTTCCTTTCACACGACAGTCGTCTCATCCTAGTGACCGTTCTAGTAAACCTTTGCTGTACGCCCTCCAGCATAAATACATACTTAAATATTAAGACCCAAATTTACACAATATTTCCTGTGTTATTTTCCCAAAGCCCTATACAATTGTAATAGGAATTTTCTTATTCTTGTAACTCCAAACTCTTTAGTATAAAGAGAAACATGTTGTTTGTGTTTCTAATTGCTTGCTGTATTTGCATTGGCTTTCTCTGCTCTTATGAGGGAATCAAGTCTCTAAACATCAACATGTAAAAGTTTTTTGTGCCTTTCTAACAAATATTCAACTTTTTTGTATCTACTGTCAAAAGGGAATAACCTCATTTCTTTACACTATACTCCCATCTTCCACCTTATTGTCCATTATATCTGCAGTCTTTGTGCCCTTCCTATAACTATGATTCCATCTAGCTTTGTTTCATTAGAAAATCTAGGTGGCATTATTCAATCTTTGTCCAAGACATTAAAATAAATTATAAATAGTTGAGGCCTCAGAACTAATTCTGGATCACTCCAGTGACAATTTGAAAATACTAGATTTATCTCTACTCTGTTTTCTGTCCTTGAGCAACAGCTCTATCTGTTCTAATAAATTAACATGTATATATCATATGCATGTATCTTGTGCATTGGCATTTTGTGTAGGACCTTGTCAAGTGCCTTTTGCAAATCCAAATAGATTACATCTACTGTTTCCTCTATTTATTCCAAATAGCTTATCAAATGTGGTTTTCCTTTTGAAAAACCATGTTGACATAATCTAATACAATAAATAATGTATTAAGACTTTCTTAATATGTGCCAGCATTTTACTGATATTTACTGGCTGGCTCATCAACTTCCTTCTGGCTTTCTCTCTCCCTTCTTTCTTGATTAGATGGCTAAATTCTTTCTAGCCTTTCATTGTTTTATGAACTTGAAAGTTTGCATTCTTTTTGCTATTTTTTTAAGCTCATCATTGTTTGATTTGTGCTGGAAAATCAGGTGGCAATTTTAAAGACTGCAAGAAATAGGAGAGGAGAGGACTTAGTTCATCAGTCCCTCTGATAAAGTCATGGATGATCTCTTTTCTCACTGTCGCCATATCCTTTGAGTCCCTTAGATCTTGGCAAATTTTCAGGGGCTAAGCTGCACCATCTTCTGGTGTATAAAATTTCAGAGGTTCACAAGCCACAACGTGAAGATCTTTCTTTAAATCTTCATCTTAAATTGCCAATTCCTTATTTTGAGATGGTGGAGAAGCTGTAGACTCCCTAGCCATAGCAACCTTTCAAACCCCTTTGAAATATATCAAATTTATATCCAATCAGTTCTGTTCAAATTCTAGGGAACATAGTCCTGTTCACTCTTCCCTCTGAGGGCATTCCCTCCTGGCCAATGACCAGCATTCCGCATAATACTCCAGACTATTTTTTCTTTATTCATTCACTGGATGAGGGTGTTGCTGACCAGGCAGCATTAATTGCCCAGAGGGCAGTCCAGAGTCACATGTAGGCCACATCGGGTAAAGATGGCAGTTTCCTTCCCTGAAGGACATTAGTGAACCAGATGGGTTTTTCCAACAATCGACAATAGATTCACGGTCATTATTAGACTCTTAATTCCAGATATTTATTGAATTCAAATTCCACCATCTGCCATGGCGGGATTTGAACCCAGGTCCCCAGAAGATTATCTAGGTCTCTGGATTAACAGTCCAGTGATAATACCACTGGGCCATCACTTCCCTCTTAATGAGACTTGATCTCATTAAGGCTTCAGACAATTTCAGTGAGATCTTGCTCTTATACTCAAATGCTTTTGAAATTTTCCTAATGTATTGCTTACTGTACCTGCGTGCTAACTTGCTATAGCTCATACACAGAACATATGGGTATCTCCAAGTACTGACATTTCCTTTCCTACATTATTTAAAAGTAAGTCCCATTTTTTTGATTTTTGTTTTTTCCTGCCAGTTCAGAACATGATCTTCCATCTGCTATGTTCTTGCCTACTCAATCAGCATGCCTTTATTTCTTGCAACCTCCTGTTTCTACAGCCTCTTCTCCACGCCCCCCAGCCCAACTAACTGTATTGATGCAAAGTTGGATATATCATACCCTCTCCCCTTATCACTGATACGGGTGATAAATGGTTGAGGCCCAGGTACCAACCCTTGCAATACCCCACTGTTGACATGAAAATAACTTTAGTTCTTAACAAGACCTCAATGGATGCTTGTACCTTACTCCAAAAATATGGCCCTTAATTTCTGTGGCCCACCTTAAATGTTTGCCAGAAATCAAAATATGTTACTTCTACAGATTCGCCCATATCCATTCTGCTCATTGCGATTTCAGAAAAACTCAGGTTTGCCAAACATTATTTTCCTTTCATAAATAGTGACTTCACCATTCATTTTACGATTTTCTAAAAGCTCTGTTACTATGTCTGTAATAACAGATCCTTGCATTTTCGTTACTTAGACAAATGTCTATCTAACTGGCAAATGGATTTCTTTATTAACCTTTCGTGAATGCTGGCACGTGAGCAATTATGACAAAATAAACATATTAATTGTTTTATAATAACAGGTAAAGTTGCTGTCGTCTTACTAGACCAGAGCGCTCCTCCTCTCTCATTAAAGAGAGATGATGGTGGTGGTTTAACTTGAGGGTCACCCCACCTCAGGCAAGGGAACAAAGGAACATAGGAACAGGAGTAGGCCATTCAGTTCCTTCGAGCCTGCTCCACCAATCAATGAGATCATGGCTAATCTGTGGCCTAATTTCATATGTCTACGTTTGGCCCATATGCCTTAATGACATTCATCTATCTCAGATTTAAAATTAACTAGCAAGAATTT